AAAGGAGGTTGCAAAATGCTCGCTAGGTGCGCTGGAAAAAACCTTGCACATAACTCTGTTCTCAGCATGGGTTATATATCCAAAAGCTTAGGGGGCTGACACAATAGCTAGGTGGACCCATAGATTAGAAATATTGAGGCATAAATGCTTTACCAAACTAGAATTCATTTCATAGGAGCATATTCTCGTCAAGAAATTATTTATGACCTTCGAATTGTAGCCAACCAACTTCGGATAAGGTGTATCCCTTACTAGGAAAAAGGCAGGCCTTGCGATGTGCAGAGGTTGCTAAAGCAAGAAAAACATTTTCATCATTCGTGTCTTAAGAGCAACTCCAATAGCTCCCGTATCCTTAAAAGAACCATTGTCTACGGGAAGTTGAGGCAAAGAAGGCCTCCAATAGCTCCCGTAAACCTGATTTTCTATGAGATCCCGTATAATTGCCCTTAACTCCCCTCATGTTCATGAGAAGATGACCTTCCCGTGTAATTTTGGTGAGTAGGAAACCGCCTTAAAGTTCACGGGTGGAGTTCTGGAACACCATCGTGCCACCTTCGGCTTGTCGCTGGCCCGCGCTAGCCCATAGCTTGCCGTCGCGCCGCAAGTTGCCGTTGCACCGTCGCTTGTGATCGCGCCTCCCCGCACCACTGCTTGCCGTAGCACAGCCATGTGCCGTCGCCACTAGGAACTTAGCGCCGGTCACCCAACTAGCGTCGCAATGTCGACGGGCAATGTCAAATTTTAGGGGAAGATGTTTATGGGAACTAAGAAAAGACCTCATGGGACAACTTCCGCTAAATTATACAGACTAACCCGTAAAACCACTTTTACAGGAAGGTTTTTACAGGAGCTATTGGAGTTGCTCTAATACAAATAAATCAAGTTTAAGATTCACTATATGTATCGATATAAATATAACATAAGGTAAGTCCAGGGACCATGCAAATACAACTACAACAATTGAGTAAAGATACATATAAAAATGTATTTCTTTTCAAAATTATCAAAGATATATTCATCTCCATGCCAAGTTGCTAACAATAGAAGATAATCACTGACCGGCATGAAAAAGATAAGATCCATCTTTTTCACTAGTTGGATTACTCTGGCCTGCCACCAATACAACCCTACACGTATCTTCTTAGATGTATCTTTACTTAATTGTCAGGGTTGTATTGCATGGTTTCTATATCTTATTATGTTTTATTTACTTGATATGATTTTGGTTAACACATTAATGATTTTTTTCTTTTCTTCTGTTAGCAACCTCCCAACATGTAGATTGATTGATATATTTATGTAGATGTCCTAGAATAACCAGTGCCAATTAAAGCTCGTCACATATTTGGATGTGAATAAGTGACAATATATAGTACTAGGCATTTATTCTAATATATTTTGGATGCGAATAAATATGGATAATTGATTATTAATTTTCCTCCTAAAATAGTCTAGGTACAAGACCTATATATGCCTTTCACATCAGCTTGTAAACAACTTCTGACATTTGAAAAACTTAAATCTACAACTCTAAATTTTTGTGCATTTATCTCCCACTATGAGACAAACCACATGCAAAACACAACTTATTTTGGTCGGGTAGGTCCCACCAGTCATGTGATCAATGCGAAGAGTAGGCACCACAATATTTTGTTGCGTTTGCGGGGTTAAAGAATTCTTCATTTTCTGTTTTGTAACATGTCGGAAACAAAACAACCGCAAGGAAAAGATGGGACAGTTTGTAGGCCCACCAAGCATCGGAGGCACCAAGGAGAAGCAGACCCAGCCAAGCAATACGTTCAGCTACCTCCTCACCACAACTACTTCGGCTACCACCGGAGCGTAGGCAAGTAGTGGGGCCCATGTGAGGGAATCCTACAACCACATCTGACCTTTCTTAGGTGGTGCATCACACTTTGGTCTTTTGGTCTTGAGCGTCTCCCCCTCCTGAGCTCCCATCTTGACAACCTCATGTCAGTCGTACGGTGCTGGCGTAGGCCCATGTTATTGTTGCTTTGCACCGGCATGGTATGACCGACATGGAGGTTATCGAGATGGGAGCTCAGGGCGGATGAGACGCTCGAGGCCGAAACACTAGAGCGTGGTGTGCCACCTTATGAAGGCCCGTGGTGGTCATAGGATGCCCTCACAGGGGCCCGACTACTTGCCTGCCAGCGATAGCGGGCCAGTTTTGGTTAGGAGGTAGCTGAATGGATTGCTTGGCCAGGCTAGTTCTTTTGGGTGCCGTTGATGCTTGGTGGGCCTCCAGACCTGTCTCATCTTCTCCTTCCGATTGCCTTGTTACCGACATACCAAAGAACAGAAAATGAAAATTTTGTTAGGTTCGCAAACTCAAAGAAATACCTTGTTACCTAATCTTTGTACATATTATGTGCTTAGCGGAACCCACCCGAAATAAATTGTGTTTTGCACGTGGTTTGTCTCTTCACGAGAGACAAATACGCAAAAGTTTAGAGTTAATAGATTTAAGTTCGTTCAAATGTCGGGTGTTAGTTTCCGCACTGATGTGGAGGATATATATAGGTCGTGTGGCTACGCTATTTTAGGAGGACAAAGAGTAATTGATAATTCATATTTATACACATCCAAGTATATGACATTAAATGTCTATTATATATTCAGGCCTCCAGAAGCTCCAGTGCATAGCGGACGGCTAAAGCGTGCGGAGAATGTCAAGAGAGGGCGGGGTCGACCGATTTTGACATGGGAGGAGTCCGTTAAGAGAGACCTGAAGGATTGGAGTATCGACAAAGAGCTATGGACAGGGGTGCATGGAAGCTTGCTATCCATGTGCCAGAGCCATGAGTTGGTTGCGAGATCTTATGGGTTTCACCTCTAGCCTACCCCAACTTGTTTGGGACTAAAGGCTTTGTTGTTGTTGTATATTCACATGCAAATATATGTGGAGCTTTAATTCACACTATTTGTTCCAGCATACACACGCACATATATTCTCTATTACCTGATAGGATTATGTTTTCTGGTTTTTTTGAAGTTGGGGGGAGGGGGGGGGGGCTGGCTGGGATGTTTATTAGGTATACATTTAGTGAATGTTGCTGCATTGTAGTTGACTGGATTCGTCGTTAGTTGGCTTTTTTTATTCGTTCGTGACATGACTGTGTGTGTTCATGCAAGGCTGTCATGCTGGGTTTCACGCGTGATGTGACCACGTGTTCTCATGTAGCGCCGCTTATGACGCTGTTTCTGGGTGCCGCTTAATTTGCCGCTAATTATAAATAGGGGGTTGAGGTTCCTGATTGATCTTGCTTTATTGTGTGTTCTTTCTTTATATTGTCTGATTTATGGTTTGCGGAAGTTACTTTGGAGGGGGATCCCGTCGTTGATCGTCCTACTGGAATTCGGTATGTTAGTCGTGTGCGTGGTGGACAAGGTCGTGGTCCGGCTCTAGTTTCTGTTGCTGGCCGTGATTCTCTCGGTGCTCTTTTGTTGTGGGTGGGTGTGTCTGTGCCGTCTGGGTGTTGGCCGTTCGATGATTCTTCTGCTGTTGGTACGTTTGACTTGTTTTGTGCTGTTGTTGATATTTTTCTGGATGCCTGACGTTTGTTTTACAGTACGGGGTGAGGAGAATTTGATTGATCCGTAGTTTAACAAGTTAGCTAAGTAGAGTTTTTCTATAGAGATGCGGACCCAGACCTGAAACTGATGGCATATATCCAGGTCGTTTATGAACATACAGGTTTTTGCAGCCTTTTAATTTAGTACTGGTAGATTTTCCGAACATACAGGTCATAAATCACTCCATGTTTTTACAGTCTTTTGATTCAGTACTGGTATATTTTCCATTGGAGTTTTACAAGAACATCAATTCTTGGCCATGCATCTTGACTACCAAAAAAAACGAAGAAGCAGGAAATGCTTTTTAGTACTAGATATTTGATGCATAAGAGTTTTATGGCTTCATGACAGAGGCTAAAAAAAGGTGCAAGAATATGTCCCAGTTTGGCATACAGCTGGATAGAAGTCCTGCTTTATTTTTCATTCGCCTAAGATGTGTGTGATTTCTTAATTTGTAGCGACAAAGGATAATCTGAAGCTTCTTAAATCATTAATTTTCTCTCTTGCAAGTTTCATTTCTGCAAATAACATCACAGGAGAGCTGCCCTCAAACTTCTGTATGCTCACAAACATGACATATTTGTATGTCTCATTCACGTCTAATTAGTAATTTTCTTGCTTTAGTGACACGTCTGATTTTTACAATCTGAAAAATGTCCTAACAGAAGCGCCAAGGGCTTCTTTCTTTGTTGGATTATTATATTATGTTCTGTAAATTACATAGAGCTGAAGGAGAAAAATGGTAGAAGACATTCTTTGCTTATGTAACACCAAAAGGTTGATTCGGTACCAGTTCAGCTTGTGTTCCCTTAGGTTGATTTGTTCATTGAGACGCTGGTAAATTTATGAGCATCATCGACTGGATATGGCCCTTTCAGATGGATGATTGTTTGTATGCATTCTTTTTGTCACAATTTTTCCATGATGAATTGCAAGGGTGGATCAGTGCATCGGTTTTTTGTGTCATTGCAAAGGCGTGGCACAGCCCTAAAGCCATTGGCACACCCCTAATAACAGTTGCCCTAGGGACATTTGCGCATGCAAGGTTTTCCTAATAACAGTTGCCCTAAGGACATTTGTGCATGCAAGGTTTTCCTATCGTGTGCTTTATGTACTGCACACTTGGCTGATACATTGCTGAACTCCACACTTTTTTCGCAACTTCATAAGAATTTAGAATTTAGATACTTGCTTTACTTTGGTGCTACATTAGCTCATACCTTCATAAGAAGATGTGTAGTAGCTGTAGCCTACATTTCCCGAGTTGCGGTTTGGTCATGACCGCAGTCACGGCAACGTTCTTCCTGCCCAAAGACGGGGATACCAAATGCACAATTGCTGCTTTGCTGTTATGAGAAATACAGTTCTTACTGACGATGTTCTGCCTGTTTCTTGTGTAGGAGATGGCTACAGGGTACGAGATTGTCAGGAGGGCATATACTTGTGCTGTAAATTTGTCATCCAACAAGGTGATTGGTCTTTGCATAATTGTGAACTGGTGTGGTGAGCCTCCCCTTCGTTGCTCTGGTTTACCAACGGCAGTCATATCTTCTGAGTTTGCTTTGCTTGGTTTGTACAGACAGATTAATAATTTTTTAGAGCTACTTGCTGAACTTCACCTTGTATCTCCTCTGAACTTTCTGTTTAGCTCTCTATTCAGAAATCGATTGTGGAGTAAATGCCCAGAACTGTATGAGTTTATGAGCTTTCCCCCTGCATGCCAATGACTATGTTACATCTGCGAATTACCTGATGCATATATGCCAACTTTCTTCTCATGTTAAATTTGCATTTAGGTATTGTGTCTATGACCTTGTGTATTTTCTTGATATGTAACCCTACGGCCTTATAAGAAGACTGTTGAAAACAATGTCTTGGATGGGTTATCACATTCAATGATTTCTTTGTGTGGCATTTTTTCAAGGCATGCACAGTTAAATTTTGTGGCCTAGGCACCTGGCTGTACACAACAGAATTTAAGAAAAAGGAGAGAAAAAACAGAAGGCTAACAGACTTTCAAGACGAAAGCTAAAATGAAAAGAATCTGTTAACAATGTTAGCACTATTTATTTGTATGGGTATAGTATAATATAGGATTGCAGGTTCTCCCACTTCAGAAAGATATAAGGTGGTATTAAATGATATAGCACACTGACAACTGATTTTTATGACGTGGAAGAAGAGGAGCGAAGTACTCCCTCCGTCCGGAAATACTTGTCATCAAAATGGATAAAAATGGATATATCTAGAACTATAAATACTTGTCATCAAAATGGATAAAAAGGATGTATTTAGAATAAAAATATGTCTAGATACATCTTCTTTTATTCATCTTGATGACAAGTATTTTTGGACGGAGGGAGTATAAGATTGACATTGGATCATTCATGTTGTGTATATAGGTTAAAGAATTCTATATTGATAAAATTTCAGAATTCCTGTGTTTGCTATGGAATTTCTGGTTTTCTTAGTTAGAAATCCAATTATCTAAATTTTAAACAAGAAGCAGTTGCCCCCATTGGCAAATGGTTATCCATCAGTCGGAGGAAATTTGGATCGACAAAAAAATCAAGCAGAGGAATAGTAATAGAAGAGTAAAAACATTTAACTTAAAAGAATGGACTAATAGGGTCGACTATTTAGCCAACTTTCATAATTAAGTATATGGGCAACTATTGTCTCTACCTGTCCGATCTTACAATTAAAGTTAGGATCTTACAACTAGTTATTACACATCTAAGTGACACAATCAAACACAAAAAGGAAAAAGAAAAATAAGAAGAAAAAATACCTGCATGAATCTTCACCTAAAATTAGGAACATAAGATTTAGATGTGCAATACTTAGACTGGTCATAGTGGGAAGTAACTTAGATTAGTAACATGCATATATTAGTATTACTACCTTTATAGTGGGTACTACTCCCTCCGTTCCATAACGTAGTATAACATAGTATGTATAGATTTTTTTTTAATGTCAAACTTTATAAACTTTGACTAAGTTTTTAGAAAAAACTATTTATATCTATAATACCGAAAATATAAAATATGAAACCACATCTTATATATGAAACTTCATCTTATGACGAATCTAATGATATATGTCTGGCCCTCTAGATATATAAATGTTTTTGTCACAAATTCGGTCAAAGTTTGTGAGGTTTGATTTTTCGAAAAATATATATGCACTATATTATGAAACAGAGGGAGTAACATATATGAAGTGTCATGTAACCCTTCATTTATTTAGTTTTTGACTCATTTGCTTTCTGGTGTGTTATGTTACAGTAAGATATTATGTTACTACAAACACCTCTTTTCTTATTAAATATTTGCCACGTAAGCAAATTTGTATCGGATTGCGTTATGTTACTAGCTAAGTTACTTTTACTATAACCAACCTCAGGGCACATCTTAAATGTACTTTAGCAAAACTGTTAAACTTATACGAAACTATATGAAAGTAAACAATTATTGGAAAAAGTATATAATAACCAGCAATAAAAATGTTTTATTATGGACTGCACTATTTGTGAATCATTATGTTTTTAAGGTTAAATATACTGAACGCATGCATACATTAGAACCAAAGTACCAAACAAATCCTTCTTTGACATTGTTGGATGTGTGAAGTGGGGAAGTGCATGGATAAACTCGGATATATATGAGGCCATTTCGGAAAACACATTTTCAAATGCTAAAAAAGTCTAAAAAAAGGTCCATGTCCTATGTGTGTGCATAAAGTTTCATAGAAAAATAATATTTTTTGTGGCCCGTGCAAAAAAGACAAAAAATTATGTCGTAGAACGCTATTTAGAAGCACTAAAATTTGTCTTTTTACGGAGACAAAACAAAATGATATTTTTTTCACAAAACTTTGTGCCGCGCACACACATTTGCGAACATGTATGCATGATTTTTTGTATTTTTTTAACATTATAAAACATGCTTAAAATGCATTTTTTGAAAAATGGGTGCATATGCCATGCGTGCAGGACGTGCCTCTCCTGCGTGTGAGTTTGAGCTCTCTTCATATCATTGGCACATGCATATGCTCTTTTTTAGTGTGCATATAAGACAAAATGATGTTGTAAGCATAGATTTCATCTAAATTTGACTTCACAAAATGCTTTGTGGCTCAAATCTTTCATCCGATTTTAAATCTTTGAGGTGAGAGCTTCAAAAGTAGATTTCATGTTGGTATGTTTTGATAATTTTTTTATCCAAAGTTACCTCACCGGCACCCCTCAAACCCAACCCAAATTTGGGGCGGGTATGGGAGGCTCGGACCATCCCACCCTAGTCCATCTGGACCCAACACGTATCCCCACCTAGACAAACCCTAGACCGCAGTCAAACCACACTCCATTCCACTTGCCGCCTGCTCCTCTCCTCGCCCCCCTTTCGATCCAATGTCAAGCTCCGGCAGCGCACCGTCCGATGGCGATGACCCTGTCAACTCGGAGTTGTTGTTGCTCGAGAGGGAGGCGGACGATGAGGAGGAGCTTGTCATCCCCATCACACCGCCACGACTCCGACGGTCCCCACGGCTTCGATGACACACCTCATGCCAACACATACACAGAGGGCCATAATTGCAACGGCGACTGCAAGGGGCCGACGCGGAAGTGGTGATGTCTCAGTGCCGCCCTCGCTTCCATTTTAGTTTTTAGTTAATTTTGTTTTTATCTATGCTGCAACGATGAATTAAATCTTTTGATCCGATGAACCGTGTTTATATGCTCGCATGGAATTTAGGTTGAACTATGCTTATCTATATGTGTATATGATCGACATTTGTAGTTTCTCACGTTGCATGGATAGCACGGTTTTGAGGGATTAGATTTAAGATACCTGATTGTGGACGCGGC